TGGCAGGAGGCTCCACCAGGATCCATGAGAACCTGCGAGACGAGAAAGCACAAGAACTCCGGGGAAGAAGTGGAGTTAGTAACATGCATGAAAGGGACATGAATGAGTGCAGAAAGAGAGAGGAAGAGAGTAGCTCAGTGCACCATGGGAAATCCCCCGATAGTCTAGGCCTATAGCAGCATAACTAAGGGATGGTTCAGGACTCACCTGATCCAGCCCTAACTATAAGCTTTATCAAAGAGGAATGTCTTAAGCCTACTCTTGAATGTGGTGAGGGTGTCTGCCTCCCGAACCACAACTGGAAGCTGGTTCCACAGGAGAGGAGCTTGGTAACTGAAGGCTCTGGCTCCTGTTCTACTTTTAGAGACTATAGGAACCACAAGTAGCCCAGCATTCAGAGAACGTAGTGTTCTAGTGGGGTAATAGGGTACTATGAGCTCTTTAAGATATGAAGGGGCCTGACCATGAAGAGCTTTATAGGTGAGGAGGAGGATTTTAAATTCTATTCTACATTTTACAGGGAGCCAGTGCAGAGAAGCTAGTACAGGAGAGATGTGATCTCTTTTTCTAGTTCCTGTCAGTACTCGTGCTGCAGCGTTCTGAATTAATTGGAGCATTTTAATGGACTTATTGGGGCAACCTGATAATAAAGAGTTGCAGTAATCCAGCCTTGAAGTAACAAATGCATGGATTAGTTTTTCTGCATCTGTCTGTGATAGGATGTGTCTAATTTTTCTAATATTACGTAAATGAAAGAAGGCAGTCCTAGAGGTCTGCTTTATGTGGGAGTTAAATGACAAATCCTGATCAAAGATAACTCCAAGATTCCTGACAGTGGTGCTAGAGGCCAAGTTAATGCCATCTAGAGTGACTATATCTTTAGACAATGAGTCTCTAAGGTTTTTGGGGCCAAGAACAAGAATTTCGGTTTTTTCTGAGTTTAACATCAGAAAATTGCAGGTCAGGCTAACTGCTAAGCTTAAGTACTGTAGCTAGCAGAACTCAATAACGTAAATGCTAAATGGACCTGTACTTGTATAGCGCCTTTCTAGTCTTCCGACCACTCAAAGCTCTTTTACACTACATGCCACATTCACCCTTTCACACACATTCACTCAGTGATGGCAAAGTCCATCGAACAGAAACTAACATTCATACACATTCACACACTGATGCACAGCATCGGGAGCAATTCGGGGTTCAGTATTTTGCTCAAGAATACTTCGACATGTGGCACCAGGAGCCGGGGATCGAACCAACAACCTTCCGATTAGTGGACGACCTGCTCTGGGAACAACTCTGGGATTAAGGACAATGTTACTAAAAGGAGAGGGCTATGAGTGCTTGAGCAGAACTCGGGGGGTGGCTATAGCTCAGAAGGTTAAGCGGTCGTCCACAAAGGTTGGAGGTTTGATCCCCGGCTCCTCGTGCCATATGTCAAAAGTGTCCTGAGCCCAAAATTGCTCGTATGAATGCAGACGAGTGAGTTAGTTTTTGTTTGTGATGAGTGTTTGCCTTCATTGTTTTGATGGGTTTAAATGGGTGAATGTGGCATGTAGTGTACACCGCTTTGAGTGGTCGAAAGACTAGGAAGGTGCTATACAAGTATAGTCCATTTAGTGTATGTTTAAATATGTAGTGTGTAATTATCCGCTGTATTGAATATATAAACATATTTAACTGGGTTGAGCTAGAGCAGCAAACATAAAACGAAGCACTCAACTGGAAATGATATTAGATGCTCATACCCACCTATTCCTCATGAGCTCTTTGTGCCACAGGAGAAGATCAAATCTTCTGTGTTGGATACAGCACACACATCAGTGTGATCAGTGATCAGGATTTGTCATTTAATTCCCACATGAAGCAGACCTCTAGGACTGCCTTCTTTCATTTACGTAATATTACAAAAATTAGACACATCCTATCACAGACAGATGCAGAAAAACTAATCCATGCATTTGTTACTTCAAGGCTGGATTACTGCAACTCTTTATTATCAGGTTGCCCCAATAAGTCCATTAAAACGCTCCAATTAATTCAGAACGCTGCAGCACGAGTACTGACAGGAACTAGAAAAAGAGATCACATCTCTCCTGTACTAGCTTCTCTGCATTGGCTCCCTGTAAAATGTAGAATAGAATTTAAAATCCTCCTCCTCACCTATAAAGCTCTTCATGGTGGGACCCCTTCATATCTTAAAGAGCTCATAGTACCCTATTACCCCACTAGAACACTACGTTCTCTGAATGCTGGGCTACTTGTGGTTCCTATAGTCTCTAAAAGTAGAACAGGAGCCAGAGCCTTCAGTTACCAAGCTCCTCTCCTGTGGAACCAGCTTCCATTTGTGGTTCGGGAGGCAGACCACATTCAAGAGTAGGCTTAAGACGTTCCTCTTTGATAAAGCTTATAGTTAGGGCTGGATCAGGTGAGTCCTGAACCATCCCTTAGTTATGCTGCTATAGGCCTAGACTATCGGGGGATTTTCCATGGTGCTCTGAGCTCCTCTCTTCCGCTCTCTCTCTTTCTGCACTCATTCATGTTCCATTAATGCATGTTACTAACTTCACTTCCTCCCCGGAGTTCTTTTGCTTTCTCGTCTCGCAGGTTCTCATGGATCCTGGTTGAGCCTCCTGCCATGGTCCTGCTTGACTGCCATTGCTAATATCACTGATATTATTGTTATTGTTTTATATTATATATACTGTGCAACTGTCTGTCTGTCTGTCTGTCTGTGTCTCTCTCTCTCTCCCTCTCTCTCTCTCTCTCTCTCTCTCTCTCTCTCTCTCTCTCTCTCTCTCTCTCTCTCTCACCCCAACTGGTCGAGACAGACGACCACCCACCTAGAGCCGAAGGATCTGTCCTAGGTTTCTGCCTTTTAACAGGCAGTTTTTCCTTTCCTTGCGCCAAGGTCTTGCTCATGGTGGTACTGTTGGGTCTCTGTAAATGTTATAAGGAGTTCGGTCTAGACCTGCTCTATTTGAAAAGTGTCCTGAGATAACTTCTGTTATGAATTGGCGCTATACAAATAAAATTTAATTGAAAATTGAATCATGAACTGAAACCAGCTCTCTTTTCCCATGTCCCCCAGACAGGAAATGTAACCCAAGCCTTCTGGGTATCATCGGGCTGAACAGCACCAGTCCTGCTGGTCAGGACCATGTGGTTCAGTGGTGGGATGCCCAGGGGATTGTGGGATTGGTCCTTTTCCTCATGTGTGTTCTCTACTCCAGGTGAGGAAACCCTGTAATGATCTGTGCAGTTAGAAACTCACAATTGTAAATCATTGAATGACCAACCCGAAGCCTGAAGTGACTCTTCTGAGTCTGATAAGAAACCTTGTTCTGTGTTCTCTCTCTTCCTTTCTGTCCACCAGTATTCGTAATTCGTCCAACGCCCAGGTGAACAAGCTGACTCTAACCAGCGATGAGTCAGCTTTGATTGAGGACGGGCCTCAGAGCGATGGCTTTGAGGAGGGCAGCGGTCACAACAGAGCTGTGGACAATGAGAAGGATGGCGTCACCTACTCCTACTCTTTCTTCCACTTCATGCTGTTCTTGGCGTCACTCTATATCATGATGACACTCACCAACTGGTACAGGTAGGCATCACACTGCAGAGAGTGGTTCCATCACAGTACTGCCACACTTTATCGAGTGATACCAGTAGGGATGTGAGGTCCTCATATAAGGGTTTGTTGGTTGCTTTGGATGTCTGTCCCTTTGGACTTGTGATATATGGACACCCCTAAATGCACTGCCTTATTTGGTCTGAATTGGCCCTAAGTTGTGGCAGTATTGCAAATGCAAACCAGAAGAGTGTACTCAGCAGAGTGCAGATTTCTGCCTGGTATGTGGAGGTAATCTATACACATATACGCAGCGTACAGCCAATCATAATTTGTTGCGTCATTTGTAAATGTGGGACTCAGAACAACCAAGAACAGTCAAGGTGGCGCTGAAGATAACACAAACAGGATTCATTCACTTAATAACATATGGGTGTGACATTAATCTGTAGATGCTCTGGTGCAAGATAAACTCTTTTCTATGGATGATATGGATGTTTTTGAGCCACAACAAATGCCACAATGTGCACATTTTAGATTTACATTTTTTCTGAAATAAATCAGAAGTCTAATCACTTGACCGCATAGTGGTAGACATCACCTGTTCTGTGTTATCATATTTAGATTAGGAGATATGATGCAAAATACATTTGCAGCGTATACAGTGAGTTTTATTATTTTAAAATATCGTCTGGACTAAAAGAAAAGCTGTATACTGATTATTGGAGACTGCACAGAACAGTAATGAGCATTTATGTAGTAGAAAGTATTTCCAGTGTAAATTATTCAGGGTATGTATGTGTGTGTTTTCCTGTTGATCTTTTTCCATGTATTTTTTCAATGTTGTAAGTGGAACAAATTAAATTCCATTTTACTCCATGGTGGAGATGGATATCTTACCAAGAGAAAAAAATATATATATATTAAGTCATTTGGGGTAAATTACACTGTCGAAGGGCATTTTCAATCAACCTTTCCTCTGGACAATTATTAAAATTGTACAAAGAGTTCAGAGAATGGCTTTAATGCTATCTGGTGGCTGAACACACTTATTAATGATTGCCAAAGATTTTAGTTCAATTTCTGGCTGAAAGCCTGACATGAACTGAAATTAAAATATATGGCCACTTATATGCAGATGGGCTTGAGACTCATGTTTATATAATCTACTGTCATTCATATTTCTACTTTAGTGAGCTTTTATCTTTCTGTTTTTAATACATTTTTACAGTATTGCACTTGTCCAGACTGATAGCAGCAGAGTATAAATCTGTCAGCTGATGCGTTTCTCCGCTATATGCTTTCTCTGCAGCCCTGACTCCAACTATGAGGCCATGACCAGCAAGTGGCCATCTGTGTGGGTGAAGATCTCCTCCAGCTGGATCTGTATCGCCCTCTATGTGTGGACACTGGTGGCTCCGCTGGTCCTGGTCAACAGAGACTTTGACTGAAAATGCATGTCATCCCTCAGCTCATACACACATTCATGCTCTGCCTCACCTGTGTTCTGTTTCAGCAAAGTCGGTAAAGCAGTAGGTAGATGTCCATCCTGGAGGGGCTAAGGCTGTGCTCAGACTGACTGGAATGTTTCAGGACTGTTTTGTTTGGTGACTTTGGCTTGTCTGTGTAATCCATGAATAGAGAGCCAACATGGCTGTTAAAATGTGTCCTGTCCCAGCTCTGACTGCAGCCTCGTCTCCTCTGGTGTACTGTCATTGTGAATCCTCAGCAGCCTGTTGTAGTGGTTCCCCATGCTGTTGCCATAGTAAATATCCTGTGTATTCTTAGTGGATGTTTTTCTTTTCTTCCTATAAAGACAGAGCTGCATGCTTTTCTTTTAAAACTTGATGTGACATTAACAGTAGCTGTATCTGAAGCTTTTGTGAGGATGATGATTTTTTTGATCTTGCCCCCTGTGGGCAACATCAGTTGACTGTAGTATTACATATGGTAATTCTGTTACATGTAGAATAAAGGAGAAGCTGCTGTGATGGTGCTGTTGGGTTGTGTGTGAGCAGGACTCCAGCTGTGGCACTGAGAGCAGTAGAGCAACTCATTGTTGTTGACTAACTAGTACCATCACCAGGCATGAGCAGTGCTGCATAGCAGTGAGTGTGTGTCTCTGTGTGTGTGGTATTAACTGCTGTCATGTGATAGAGCTCTAGCAGTTGTGTGTTTACACTCCCGAGCACATACACAACAAAGGCATTCCTGTTTTTGTTGCTTCTGATTTGTGTTGATTTTTGACTTCAAATGTAAAATTGATTGTTTGAAAACCTCTAGATAAGTTATTTGGTAGTGTTTAGCATTAGCATGTAGTTTACTTAATTGGCAGAAATATTGTGGCTATACATTTGTTTGATTGTGTCACTTGTGCTTTTATTCTAATGATTTTTCCTCTTGACATGTAAAAGTACATTGTAACTCGTTTAATAAAACTGAGAGAAAAAAAGTCAACCTGGTTTGTTTGTTGCCTCTGTTCCGGGGACGTGTGTGTGAGGCCTATAGTTTCAGCTGACTGAAACAAGTTGGTCATAACATTAATATTTGGGTGTGAAGACCCTGCACTCTCCCAGTTTTTCTTATTCTTATTATTTCATTTCTCCTTATCTGGTGTAACAACTTATCTTCAGGTCCTAGCATAGCAATTGAAATTCACTCTAAAATTAAAATCAAAAGTAGTTTAAATAAGTACATATCTTAAAGAGCTCATAGCACCCTATTACCCCTCTAGAACAATGCGTTCTCTGAATGCTGGGCTACTTGTGGTTCCTATAGTCTCTAAAAGTAGAACAGGAGCCAGAGCCTTCAGTTACCAAGCTCCTCTCCTGTGGAACCAGCTTCCAGTTGTGGTTCAGGAGGCAGACACCCTCTCCACATTCAAGAGTAGGCTTAAGACATTCCTCTTTGATAAAGCTTATAGTTAGGGCTGGATCAGGTGAGTCCTGAACCATCCCTTAGTTATGCTGTTATAGGCCTAGACTATAGGGGGATTTCCCATGGTGCACTGAGCTCCTGTCTTCCTCTCTCTTTCTGCACTCATTCATGTTCCATTAATGCATGTTACTAACTTCACTTCTTCTTGTGCTTTCTCGTCTTGCAGGTTCTCATGGATCCTGGTGGAGTCTCCTGCCATGGTCCTGCTTGACCATATAATATCACTGATATTGTTGTTATTATTATTAATAATATTGTTATTACTACAGTTACTATTATTACTATTGTCACTGCTTATTGTCCCCCATCATCCCCCGTGGTCGTCATCATCTTCTTCTTCATGTTCATCATCATCAGTCACTACTAGGGGGCTGTGGCTCAGAGGCAGAGCGGGTCATTCCTTAATCGGAAGGCTGTGGGTTTGATCCCCGGCTCCTGGTGCCACATGTCGAAGTTGAGCAAGATACTGATGCCGTGCATCGGTGTGTGAATGTGTATGAATGTTAGTTTCTGTTCGATGGGCTTTGCCATCACTGAGTGAATGTGTGTGAAAGGGTGAATGTGGCACGTAGTGTAAAAGCGCTTTGAGTGGTCGGAAGACTAGAAAGGCGCTATACAAGTACAGGTCTATTTACCATTTACCATTACTATTAGTGTAGTTGTTGCTACTGTTGTTGCTGTGCACCTATCTGTCTGTCTGTCTGTCTCTCTCTCTCTCTCTCTCTCTCTCTCTCACCCCAACTGGTCGAGGCAGACGACCTCCCACCTAGAGCTGAAGGGTCTGTCCTAGGTTTCTGCCTTTTAACAGGCAGTTTTTCCTTGCCCCCGTCGCCAAGTGCTTGCTCATGGTGGTACTGTTGGGTCTCTGTAAATGTTATAACGAGTTCGGTCTAGACCTGCTCTATTTGAAAAGTGTCCTAAGATAACTTCTGTTATGAATTGGCGCTATACAAATAAAATTGAATTGAATTGAAAAATTATACTATGTGGCTGGACCGTGCTGCACTTAGAAGGTTTTGACAATGCATACCAAACAATTACTCAAACAGGGGATTTTCATTATGAAATGGGCTACATATTGAACTGAATTAGTTAAATACAATTCAATTTTATTTGTATAGCGCCAATTCATAACAGAAGTTATCTCAGGACACTTTTCAAATAGAGCAGGTCTAGACCGAACTCTTTATAACATTATTTACAGAGACCCAACAGTACCACCATGAGCAAGCACTTGGCGACAAGGGCAAGGAAAAACTGCCTGTTAAAAGGCAGAAACCTAGGACAGATCCTTCGGCTCTAGGTGGGTGGTCGTCTGCCTCGACCAGTTGGGGTGAAAGAGAGAGACAGAGACAGAGAGAGACACACAGAGAGAGAGAGAGAGACAGACCGACAGACAGACAGACAGGTGCAACGCAACAACAGTATTGGCAATGGCAATCTAGCAGGACCATGGCAGGAGGCTCCACCAGGATCGATAAGAACCTGCAAGATGAGAAAGCACAAGAACTCCGGGGAAGAAGTGAAGTTAGTAACATGCATTAATGGGACATGAATGAGTGCAGAAAGAGAGAGGAAGAGAGTAGCTCAGTGCACCATGGGAAATCCCCCGATAGTCTAGGCCTATAGCAGCATAACTAAGGGATGGTTCAGGACTCACCTGATCCAGCCCTAACTATAAGCTTTATCAAAGAGGAATGTCTTAAGCCTACTCTTGAATGTGGTGAGGGTGTCTGCCTCCCGAACCACAACTGGAAGCTGGTTCCACAGGAGAGGAGCTTGGTAACTGAAGGCTCTGGCTCCTGTTCTACTTTTAGAGACTATAGGAACCACAAGTAGCCCAGCATTCAGAGAACGTAGTGTTCTAGAGGGGTAATAGGGTACTATGAGCTCTTTAAGATATGAAGGGGCCTGACCATGAAGAGCTTTTTCTATTCTACATTTTACAGGGAGCCAGTGCAGAGAAGCTAGTACAGGAGAGAATTGTGAATAAATTAATAAATTGTGTTGCGTTGTAGACAACGCAACAGGGGGGAGTGTGAGTGTAATAATAAACGAAGATAGAAAATAGGAAAATAAGGTAAAGGATAAGGAATAGATGTAGAATAGCCTAATTAGTAACGAGAAGGTGAGCTAAAGAACTATGCAAGATTAATGGAGACTGGGCCCTTAACTCCTTAACGGTAAGACGTGTAAATTAGACACTGCGTGAAAGTAGGCTTTAAGGAATAGTCGAATTGGATTAAAGGAAAAAGAGAGTGACAACCCTGGGCCCAGGGAAATTTGGCTTGAATAAAATAAGGAATAAGGAAAAGGATTAGGACGCCGCTGATTTGGACAAAAGCCCTCAAGGAGGCGATTTTAGATGGGCCGCAAATCCTGGAAAGTCACTAGGTGAATTTCAGGTCAGTTCAAGGAACTGGAAGGTGTAGAATAAAAATTAAATTGTAAGTTCCCACTCAATACATTTGTTGACGAACGGTGTCTGAAGCAGCCTCTCATTGAATATCTACACCTCAAGGTAGCAAATATTTAGAAAGGAAAAATATAAAGGAAAAAAGGAGCGGCGGAAGCATGCTTTAGGAATAGTATGAATGAATTGATTTAGAGGATTTAGAGTTGAATGCTGTTTGTGTTTTTGGGATGGTGTTGAATTTGCTGTGTGTTTTGTGACTTTGCTATGCATGTTTGCTGCTGGATAACTAGTTTTTGTGTGTGTATGAGAGACAGAGCTTGTGTGTGTGTGTGTGTGTGTGTGTGTGTGGAGAGAGCGCTGTCTCTGCTGTGTTCCAGCTGTGTGTGAAAGGCTGTGCAGAGGTTGATATACGTGACTCATGTCATGATAAGATTTTATATTAGATATATATATATGCTTTGGTAGAGAACAGGAGATTTAGTCATTTTTAAGGAAAGATATTCTGTTCATTATTGTTAAAGATTTATGAGCTTTGGGAGGACATTTTTTTGTGGTTGTTTAAAATCGTGTCTATTTCGAGAGAACTTTTCAATTTGTTAAATCTATGAGTCTCCATTGAGAGAACGTTTTGAAACTTGTTAAAACTCATGAGCGTCTGGAAGGACGTTATGATTTTGTAGAGAAGTGGAGAGATTTGTGAGGAGTGAAAGGGGGGTGCTGTAACCGCTCCGCTTGGGTGCTGCTAACTGCAGCTCTGTTTACCTTGAAATCACACTGACAAATGAACTGCGCATGTGTGGAATTTTAGGAATTTAGGATTACACAGACATATAGTCACTCCCCTGCCTGCACAGAGGTGTTGTAGCTTGCAGACCCTGAGCTTCAAGGAGGAGGGGTAGATAGAAGCCCAATAAAATATTCTGTTTGTTAGTGGCTGTTGCTTGATTACAAAACTATTTGATTGAGATCCATTACATTTATAAATGAAAATTATGTTGACAGATTAAAAAAAAAAGAAAAGAAAATGTTATTTCGGCGATTAAAAGTGTTACTGAGTTATCCTTAGCTTGAATGTAAACACAGGTATGTCTAAAAAGATAGGAAAATATACATTGTGATTACTCAAAGTTAACACCTGTATAGTTAATAAGGGAATGCATTCTGAGGCTGTGGTCTTCCCTCTATGCTGTATGAGTAAAGGAATTTGATTTATCACACTGGGTTTGTAATTCTTTAAAGAACTAGAAGGAAGAATTACCCCTATGTTTGGTGACGAGGGGGGATGGAAGTGCGGCTGATCAGCGCCTGGGTCAAGACTGAAGGTAAATGCCGGCAGGGAAAGTTCCGCTCCGACAAACGGAGGGCAGGATCCCGCCTGATGTCAGACTTAGGTGGTGGACAGTGTCCACTCCATCCATTGGAAAAGTGAGTACAGTGTTTTGAATCAAATCAAGAGTGAAAAAGACCAGTCATAACCACTACTGGGTCTGTGTAGTTCCTGAGTAGGAACTGGTGTAGTCGCATAATGAATCCTATAAGAGGTGATGGGAGTTTCCAAAACTATGTTGATGTAAAGCCAAATGAGGTGATGAAACGTGGTTTCAGGTTTTGCTGAAACCATTAAAGCAAAAGAAGAGATAAGAAGAAGAATAAAATAGAAAAACAACTAAACGATTAAAATAGGAAAAATACAAATAAAGAGGATAACCAGAAATGGGGACTAAATATAAGAGAAGTAACTAAGACAAGAATGGAAATTACTGTGATGCCTAGTGGATAATACACCATGATAGAGAAAGTTTCTTTTGGTGAGAATTTGGGGAAAGAGAAATAAAATTCCCACTAATGACTATGAGGGCATATGAGTGAAGAAAGTAAAAAACTATAAACTTTGTGTTTACTCAGCCAGTGTCTGTGTGTACTTCAAGGGTGTGCTGCTGGGAGCATAGGTGTCATTAAAGCCACCTGGCTGATCTGAATTGTCTAGAGGTTTGTGTGTATGATAAGATCAGACCATACATGGTATGTAAGATCAGTGGGATTGAGAATGATGTGTGAATGATAAGCCCATTAAAGTTAAAAGCAAACCAGTTCAAGTGAGTTTATGGTAGAAATGGGGATAAAATTGGGGAAATTAAATTCCTTACTTTACTCTCTTAAAGGCCTTACTGAAATTTCAGAAAAAGGGAGAAACAATGTTGAATGAGGATATTGAAATATGGCATCATATAATTAGTGTTGTCTATCATAGGTACATATAGAACAGATTGTTTAAAGAATAAAGGGGAAAAGAGGGGGGGGAGAAAATAAAAAGGGGGGGCCTTTCAATTTGGGGGGGGAAGGAGAGAGGGTGAATTATAGAAAAGAGTGAGACAGTAGAAAACAGAAAGATGGAGAGGAGTGTATAGAGCCAGAGCAGGGGCTGAACCTCCCCATATGCTGTCTCCTGCTACAAGGACCCCTCTAAGATAAACAACTTCAGGAAGACCAACTGTGCCTGACCTGTTCGGTCTCGCTCTCTGAATCCTACAACAGTGACTGGAAAAGGGCAGAGAAAACTAACTTTGCTTCTCCCAGGAAGTCTTTTTTGTCACTAGTAAATACCTACAATCACAGGCTGGGGATTGGTGACTGTTTAGATACACATCTTGTACGTTTAAAGAAACAAAGAGAACAAGAGAGAGAGATGGCTGAAAGATTTCTTGACCTTCATCCCTTGTCCGATCTGGTGAGAAGGAGAAGATCCAAATGAGTTTTGGTCAGAGGCACCAACAAAGGACCACAGGAACAACCATAGGAGACAGTGGGGTGCAGATCAGAGTACTGAATAGTACATTGACATAGATACAGACACACAAGGAGAAGATAAATGATGACAATGATGAGCCAGTAGTTACAGATAAATGATATTTACAGTTAACACTAGATGCAAAGACAATTTTAGGTTAATCCTAAATATAGTAAGTGATATAGTGAGATTCTTTGTAGACTTAGGAGTAGATATCTCCATAGTCAATGCATTGCTTTTAATAGTTTTTGATTGTTGTTTGAGGACTTCTTGTGGAGTTCTGATTTGGGGAGAATATAGAGTGCAACTCTACATTAGACTTTGTAAAAGAATATATCACCTCAGTCTTGCAGCAGTTGAAGATATTGTTTTTACCTCTTATAGATGAAAGAGTCATTGTTGAAGGTAATCATTCACTATGTAATTACCCAATGATGCTTGTAAAGAGATCACATACGGAGTGGAGATATTTGAAGACTTTAGGGGGATAAAGTAAGAAACTGGACTAAATGTTACAACATTAATGTCATAGGTTTCAGTAAGATCCTGGTGGTGTTGTAGGGAATTGATTTAGTGAATCCTAACTCACAGTTCTTGTTTGTTTTACTTGTAAGGGGTATAAGTGGACACGGATGGCACAGGGTTTCTCTCCGGTTTCATTCTGCAGCTGTGACTGTAGCTGAAGGCCTTGTACATTGGTAGCCACCATGGTATGGTACATTTGTTCAGTAGGTTGATAATTTTTAGTCTGCTCTCTTATGAAAAGGAATTGTCAAACCGACACTGTCTTTGTTTTGTTTTAGATAGAAAATGATGAAGAAGCAACTCATTTTGCAATTAGTGCACTAGGGCCATATAATCTGGAGGTTTTAAAATTAGGTCAAGACCATATCCAGACAATTTTAGATAATCTAGAAAATGCGTATTGAAACTTAATAATATCGTGAATTTGTGGAAATCTCCCAACCCTGTATGACATCATTCATGGAGATGACTTTTGGCAAGACTGACTTTTTGACTTTGACTCCTGAGGCAACAACAGCCTTTAATGACTTGTAGAACGAAAGAAAATAAATAAATAAATAAATAAAAAGAGTGAGAGAGTTGAGAATTTAGCTTCCTTTGGTTAGGATTCTTAGATCTTAGATTTAAATAAAGGAAATTCAACTTCCAGATAGTGGAGGTTTAGTGAAGGATTTATAAGACTAAGAAGGAAGACCTAACAGCATGCCATAGATACATAGCTGTGGGTGGACAGAGGTGCTAGTCAGCATTCCATAGGCTTGTGGAGAAACCATGAGAGATTAAAAAATAGCACCCCCAGATCTGTTAGGTCTGATGATTCAGGAAGCACATGGGTTAGTTCATGTTGCAAGGGGGGAGTTTTAAAAGGAAAATCACAAAAGAGTATGGCTTTGGGCATCCTATTTGCTTGAGCAAATTGATTATGTCATAGTAAGATGTACAATCTGTAGAATAATGTCAGGAGGAGTGTAATGACACTTCTGGAAATTGTTCTGTCAGAGGTTCTAAAAGAAATGTGATGTTCTTCCAAGAGAACCTAGAGGTTCACGTAGACCAAGAAGTCCAAGACCAGTCCGAAAGAAGAACAGATTCAAGCGATTTGGAGACTATAGTTAAAGCAAAGTTAGGAGTGTGGGTTCTGCTTCCATGTCAAAGTACTGGGTGGAATAATGGGGATAGTAGTCGTCCTGTG